CTCTTGAATGCTGAGAACAAACTGAGGACTGATGGGTGTTGGTGGGGGGGTGGGAGGTGATGGGCATGGAGGAGGGCACTTGTAGGGATGAGCACTGGGTGTTATATGGAAACCAACTTGACAATAAACTATTTGTAAAAAAAAAAAAAAAAAAAAAAATCAACTCTAGCCATGCCACTTCTGAATTGTTACAAAATCTTAATTAACAAGATCCAAATCAGTGACGTGTAAGTTGAACTGTAGTAACTACAAGATATGGGGCTAATTCATAGCTGAGGATATGGGCTATGGTGCAACTTAAAGAATATGTACTTTAGAACTGCTTGGCAGGAATTTCCTCCTTCATATCTTAGAAAACTGGAAATATGCTCACCATAATAAATTAAAAAATAAAACACTTCTTTAAAAATTATAGCAGGAGTGCCTGTATGCCTCAGTCAGAAGAGCATGTGACTCTTAATATTAGGGTTGAGTTCGAGTCCCTTATTGGGTGTAGACATTACTGAAGCAAATACATAAACTTTAAAAAAAACTGCAAAAAACATTATAGTAAACCTACATGAAAAGAGGGAATATTATGAATTCCCACTTCAAGCTGCAGTAATTTTATAATACACTGCCCAATCTTGTTTCGATATCCTACCACTTTTCCCCTGCCCCTGCAGCATTTTAGAGTATAACTCAGACATTATGTTATTTAATGAATATCTCAGTAGACAGTTTTAGTAATATATTTACTTTAACGTAAATACCCCTGTACAAGGTCTGATTCTTGACATTCTGGACTTGGCTGATTACTTCCTGGTGGTACCATTTAACTTGTTCGTAAGTTCCCCTTATTTCCTGTATATTTGCAGTTAAATCAAACTATTCTCAGTTTATGAGAGATTTAAGCTCTTATGTTGAAAGGTTTCTATTGTATGCAATGAATTAACCTCCTTCCCAACCGTGTAGAAGGTTAGTATTTACATGCCATCCTAGGGCAAACAGTTTTCTGGAGTGCTTAATTCTTCCACCGAGCTTCAGTTGGGAAACACTAACTAGAAGCTTCACTGGATGCAGGTTACTTCCTACTCAATTACACAACAGCAAGTGTCCTGCTTTTAGTGTTGCTAAGATCAATCAGTGGGTTCAGGTGTATCAATCTGTACTGTCCGTTATTAAGTTTTCCCATCAACTTTTTACCTAATCATTTGGGTATCTATTATTATTGCATGGATCTACTCTTTATTAGGGTGGCAAAATCATGATGTTACAATTTCAAGTTTTTCTTTTAAGCAGGCTACACACACAGTGTAGAGACCAATGTGGGACTTGAATTAACAACCCTGAGATCAAGACCTGAGATGAGATGAAGATCACTTAAACAACTGAGCCACTCAGGTGCACCTATATAAATAATTTTTTAAAGAAGAATTTCTACAAAGAACTTTTTATTTGGTTATTCTGAAACACAGTTCATATAAGAACGAACACATATATATTTATGAATATGTAATACAGCAATGAGTTGGCACCCTAGCACTTACCAATGATCATCTGTGAGGATTCTTTTGCATGATTTTGAACTTGTGTTTTATAAAAACTGTTACATGTCTAAATCAATTGCAAATATTCTTTCTGATGCTGTACTGCCCCAACACACTTTCGGTGGTCAGAATAAATTCTATATATTGTGTACCCATAACAAATACACATCATTCACATATCCATGTGTGGAAACACCTCTCTCATATTGATGAGCCCTGTAGTCTTATAATCGCATCACTTCAGTAGCTCTCCTCCTCAGTTTACATACAGGCAGCTATTCTAAGAGACCCTTCCCCTTGCTGGCACACAATATTAGGTACTCAAGACAGAATGGATGAGAATATAAAGTATTTTCTCTCACAATTTTTTGCAACACAGATTTATCTCTTTGCAGGGGGAGGGAAGGCAGATAATCTGGCTTCTACTTCTCCAAACACTCTTGCTTCTTTCCCCAAGCCTCAGTCACACAAGCATCTTTTCAGTCCTTCCAACATGGTACACTTGTTATTTTCTCTGAGATTTCATGCCTATTTTCCCTTGGACTGAAACCAATTCCTGTATGATTGGAAGCTTCTTATCCTTCAATTCTCTGCTAAAATGCATCTTTCCTGACAATCAAGAGTTTCCCCACTACTCTATATAATTTAATACTTCTTCCTTTCATAGACCTTAACATTACTCTCTATATAGGAAATTTTTACTTTTTGAAACTGTGTTTCTGCACAGGACTGTAGAGCTCCATGGGGGGGGGAAGAACCATGCCGTTTTTACTCACCCAGCAACATACAGGACAAAATAAGCATTCAGAGAGTTAACTGAATAAATGTAGAATAAGTAGATGAAAGGGCATGGAATACCAATTCCAAACACCACTGTCTCAAAGAAACTCCACTAAGGTCAATATAAGACATTTATTCAGGCAGAGTCCATATTTAAACCTTTTGAAATAATGTACAAGAAACCCCGGTACCACAGTATCTCACTATGGAATGGCCTTACTAATACCTAATCTAAAAAGGACAGTTTTCTTACCAATGAGTTAGGCTACAGATGGCTTTGCTGGGATTTTGGGGAGTTAGCTGAATGGTATCCGATTTTCTAAACCAACCATTATAAGCACTGTTTAAGTGATAACATACGAATGGTTTTGTATATTCTAACTTAGCAAGCTACTGATCCTATGAAGCAGAATGCAGTGTATCTGCAAGGGAAGTCAAACGACAGAAATGCAATTTAAATCTTGACACTGATTTTAGGGATGCCTGGGTGGCTCAGTTGGTTAAGTGTCTGACTCCCGGTTTTGGCTCAAGTCATGATCTTGTGGCTTTGTGGATTTGAGCCCCACACAGGGTTCTGTGCTGGCAGTGCAGAAGCTACTTGGGATTCTCTCTCTCTTTCTTGCTGCCTCTGCCCCACTCATGTTCTCTCTCTCAAAAATAAACTTAAAAGGGGTGTCAGGGTGGCTCAGTCAGTTGAGCATACAACTTCGACTCTGATCATGATCTCACAGCCTGTGAGTTCGAGCCCCACGTCAGACTCTGTGCTGACAGCTCAGAGCTTATAGCCTGCTTTGGAGTCTGTCTTCCTCTCTCTGCTCTTCTCCTGCTCATGCTGTATCTCTCAAAAATGAATAAACATTAAAAATTTTTTAAAATAATAGTAAACTTAAAAATTTTTTTAAATCGTAACACTGAATTTAAACAAAATAGTTTACAATAAACTATAAACACTTCCAAATAATTAGCAAAAATCCTTTAGAAAACTGGAGTATCCTAGGACAGTATAATAATTATGCTTTATCTTCATTATTCATCACTTATTTTTCAAACAAAACAAAAACAAAAACCCTAATTCTGGCTCAAGGGGGAAATCAGAAATAATTCAAGTTTTTTAAAGATGTTGTTTTTATTTTTTTAATGTTTATTTGTTTATTCATTTTGAGAGAGAATCCCAAGTAGGATCCACGCTGCCAGCACAGAGCCCAAGGTGGAGCACAAGCTCATGAACTGTGAGATCATGACTTAAACCAAAATCAAGAGTTGAACACTTAAATCACCTGAGCCACCTAGGCACCCCATGCTGGTTTTTAAGTATGATGGCTCAAGAGCTTTGATAAACTAACCAATGATAACTCTCACGTTACAATAAACTCACCTATTTTGTCTTGAAGCTTCTCTTCTCATTCTTTTAGGAGGAATTGGACAATCAGTCATTTCCACCTTTGTTGGATGGCGCAATGAGTCATTACCCTTACGTGTGGGAGTCATACCTGTAAAGACAGAAAATGAACTTGTACATATCTTAACTTATAGAAAAAGAACTAATAAATAATACTGAGAATGCTTCTTACTACTCCTGCTGAAAGAACAGCTCACAACCATTTATTAAATGACTTGGAGGACAAGAGTATCAACTTAAGTTATGAATCATTCACCTTCTTTCTTCTTATAGTTGAATTCTTTCTAATCATAAATATTTATCTTCATGCAGAGAAAGTAGAAGTTAACAAAAAGCAAGCACAAACCTAGTTTTTGCTCAATTAATTTCAGATTTTTCTCTTGTTCATCAAGTTCTTGTTTTTTCTTCTTCATATCAGGAGTGTGAAGATACTCTAACTGACGGTTAAGATCCTCAATCACACTATTCAACTTGTTCACAGCAGTACGATACTGCTGAAGAAGATCTGCAAAGAAACCAAAGATACCTGATTAAAACTACTGATGTATCAAGTCAATGTTTTAGGAAAGCAGAATTAGCAACACTGGGTTTTAAAGCCACAGAACTTTGTTCAATGTAAACAAACAAAATAAAAATGCAGTTTAGACTCAGCACAAGACTGGTGCTTATTAAATTTTAATTTGCTTCACTTTAATAAATTTATTTTTGTGGTAGGAAGAGTTTTATATGTAAAAGTGCTCTGTGAATTGGATCACTCTCTCAGTCAATGGTTATATATCTGATGTTCAGTATTCATTCTAATTTCACACAGACAAATTTGGGTGGAAGGGAACAAATGCATTAAATATAGTATGGCTACGAGCACCTGGCTGGCTCAGTAGATAGAGCATGTGACTTTTGATCTTGGGTTCTGAGGTTGAGCCTCATGTTAGGCACAAAAATTACTTAAAATAGTACTGCTAGAAAATCACTACTTGCAGATATGACCATTATCTTAAACATAGCTTTCAAAAATACACTCTTGATAAAATACTTTATTTTCAAAAAGCTTAACTTTCTAAAACTATGTCTAAAAATGTATTATATTATTCAGGTTTGAGACTATTTTTTTTGCCTGTATTATTTACTAGACACTAAATGTTAGTATTATTAAATATATTCTGGCCCCCAATAATCAATGGACAAGAATGCTTTATACAGTTTTAAATGGTTATATAAATACCTTAGTAATACCCTCAAAGTCTAAAAGTATTTGCTATCTGGCATTTGTCACCTTGGACATACACAATGATGATCAATACACATGGGAATAGACACACAAATGCCCATTTTATATATGAACTGGTTTACATATAAAATTATGGGAAATTATTCAAGAGTCAGCAAAATATAAGATAAAATATTCTATACTTTAAGGGGCAAGAACAGGGTCTGGAAAAGAAGCCTAGTATTCTGATAAGCAAGCAAATAAACACATATGCACATCTGTATATGCTTATGAATATATTCATATATTTGCTTTTGAAATGTTTATTTTCAGAGAGAGAGAGTGTGTGTGTGTGAGCAGGGGGAGGAGCAGAGAGAGAATCTCTGCCCTGAGCACAGAGCCTGACATGGGGCTTGATCTCATGACTGAGATCTTGGCCTGAGCTGAAATAAAGAGTAAGACCTTTAACCGACTGAGCCCCAGGTACTCCAATTTAAATTTTAGAGTACATAAGAGGGGGAGAGGGGCAGAAGGAAGGAGAGGGGGAAGGAGGAAGGAGTGAAGGGGGGAGAGACGGGAAGAGAGAGGAGGGGGGAGGGGGAGGGGGAGAGGGAGGCAGGGAGAAAGAAAATCTTAAGCAGGCTCCACACTCACCTCAGCGTGAAGCCTGACACAGGGCTCAATCTCATGATCACAAATCATGACCCGAGCCGAAATCAAGAGTCAGACACTTAATGGACTGAGCCACCCAGGTGCCCCAGTATGTTCATACATTTAAATACAAATTCTATACAAAACTAAGTAATGACAAGATCCTGATGATCCTCAATTCTTTTTTTTTTTTTTAAGGTTTGTTGATTTTGAGACGGAGAGACAAAGTGCTAGTGGGGGAGGGGCAGAGAGAGAGGAAGACAGAATCTGAAGCAGGCTCCAGGCTCTGAGTTGTCAGCACAGAGCCCGATGCAGAACTCAAACCCACGAGCAGTGAGATCATGACTGAGCTGAAGTCAGATGCTCAACTGACTGAGCCACCCAGGCGCCCCTCAATTCTCTATGACATATAGGGAACCTTTCAAGGTGTCCAGAAAAAAGACTGGTTTTCTAGTCTGATAGTACTTCTAATTTCCTAGTAATGTTATGATTTCTTAATTTACATAGTATATTCTTTACATAGCAAAGTTATTCTTTACATAGTAAAATACTGTAAAACAATATTTATTTTGGATGTGAATGAGTTACAAAATTATGTCCCAGACCTGTATATATCAGGATGCTGCTCTTCTTCAGAAGAAGATACACAAGACTTCAGGCCATTAGGGCTAGATAGTTTTTAAATTCCAGTTAACATACAATGTTCTATTAGTTTCAGGTGTACAACTGATTCAATACTTACATATAATACATGGTACTCACCATAAAAAAAGTATAGACTCAGTAATCCCCATTACCTATTTCACCCATCTCTTCACCCACCTCCCCTCTGGAAGTTAACTGTCAGTTTGTTCTCTATAGGGAAGAGCCTGATATCCTATTTCTTAATAAGTTAGTTATGAGGTTCTTTCATTTTTATATTTTTTAAACCATTTTTAAAAGTCTATTTGAGAGACAGATACTACAAGCAGGAGAGGAGCAGTGAGAGAGGGAAAGAGAACTCCAAGCAGGCTCTGCACTCTCAGCACAGAGCACCAACAGTCATGACCTGAGCTGAAACTAAGAGTCAGATATTTAACAGACTGAGCCACCCAGATGCCCCCTCTTTCACTTTCAAATACTCAAGAAATTAGTATATTTAAACACTTTAAGAGAATAAGGGTCCTTTATTTATAAGCAGAAGGATGGAATGTTAAATACTTCTTGTTAAATGCAGCACTAATAGTAGGTTCATATTTTATGAATAAGATGGACAGTAGCAGCTCTTTTTAAAAAGTAATCTCTAAATCTAACCAACATGGTACTCAAACTCACAACCCCAAGATCAAGAGTATACTCCACTGAATGAGTTAGCCAGGCACCCCACAGCAGCTTAATATGCCTTAACAACTCCCAATTTTTTGTACATGAAATGTAACTTCCATTTACCATGGTGTCTATAAAAGTCTTTCCTAACTCACTTAATAGAATCTTGCCAAATAATTCAAAATTCACATTTGATTCTGTTTACAAATGATTTGCAAGTTTTTATATACTGTCTGAAAATTTCTATTATCTGGGGAAACCATTGATGAAGCTTTATTGTGAGGACAGCAAAATACCTTAAAAAGGTACTTCATATAAAGCTCAAAATACAATGCATTCATTTATGTATGATATATATTAAAGATCTAGATTATTTCAACGTATCCTGAGGAATAACCATGTAAGCAGTTACTAAAAATAATATAAAGTAATTGAAAGTATACCTGATGGCTGGTATTAGGCAAATATTTAAGGTTTGCTTAGAAGGCAGAAGCAACTTTTTTTACTACTAGAAGATTCAAGCAGGTAGATGGGTATGTAGACTTTACTAAATAATACTTAGGTCTCTTTGAACTTTTATGTTCTACATGATTCTAAGAACTTTATTGGCAAAAACTGATCAGCACTTATGACTGGGTGAAAAAAAAAATTGAGCCTCTACTCTGATTTGCTCCCAAAAAATCCACCTGGGAAGAGGAGAACAAAGGCAAATTGTGAAATAAGAGGGTTATGAATGAAATAAGAGTAGCCAGATGATAGGTCCTGGGAGTTCACTGTTACTGCTCTATTTATTTTCATAGTAGAACAAAATATGCTTGCCCTGAAAACCAAAGCACTTAAATAATCTTGATCACTATTTCTAAAAACATTAAGAATGGTTTTACTTAAAACAACAACACAACAAATGGACAGTAGTAACTGAGAAGTTAAATATTAGAGTAAATTAACATGCTATAACAATACCTAAGCAGGCCAGACATAGAATACGTATGTGGAATACATGGACGTAATAACAGTATTAATAAGTTTGACGATGTCACAATTATAAACTATATATTAACTAATCACTGGTTATTTTTAAATGATTTTCCTTTCTTCAGTTGATAGTAACAACTCTTTCTTCTGTCTATATTGGATTCTACAATGACTACAGTTATTAATACTTTTAATTTTTTTAATGTTTTATTTATTTCTGAGAGAGAGAGAGAGAGCACGCGTACACGCATAAAGAGGGGAGGGGCAGAGAGAGAGGGAGACACAGTATCTGAATCAGGCTCCAGGCTCTGAGCTGTCAGCACAGAGCCCGATGCGGAGCTTGAATCCACAAACCGCGAGATCATGACCTGAGCCGAAGTCGGTCGTTCAACCGACTGAGCCACCCAGGCACCCCTACAGTTATTAATACTTTTTAAAGAAGTATTTCTACTTATGAGATCTCTATAAAAAACTTGGAATAATACAGAAAAGGTCAGAAAAAAAAATCAGTAGGTCTATCATCTTACCATTTTCTTGTTTTTCATTCCACAACGTTTGCATGTTTAATTTTTATCATGTATATTTGCATTTGTATGTTCTTTTTTTATAACATTTTTAGGTTTAAATTTTCTTTAATGTTTTGTTTATTTCTGAGAGAGACAGCATGAGCAGGAGAGGGTCAGAGAGAGAGGGAGACACAGAATCTGAAACAGGCTCCAGGCTCAGAGCTGTCAGCACAGAGCCCGACGTGGGGCTTGAACCCACATACCGTGAGATGATGACCTGAGCCAAAGTTGGACGCTCAACCGACTGAGCCACCCAGGCGCCCTGCATTTGTATGTTCTAACCATTTTCCTTTTAACATTGTAACAAGCATTTCCCAGATTCTATATTCAATTAAAGCACTGAATATACAATGTTTAGCTTGAAAAAAGGTGCTATTTTTGATATTCATCTGAATGTAAGAAAAGCCTTGTCTGTATGTGGGATGGTTTATGTAAGCATGTTCCTTAAAAGATCACTTACTGGTTCAAAGAACTTCAGTATTAAAAACAATGAGAACCTTTTCTAATTATGAAAGTGACACACACTGTTGAGTCAGATCTGGAAAAGTATATAGAAAAGAATAATGGAGAAGAAAATCATCTTAATTACGTAATCCAGAAATAAAACTATTTTCTTTCTACTCTTTCACTTTGCTGTGAAAATGAAAACATACACTGTTCTGAACTTGGAAAAGTTATCTAAACTTTTTAAGCCTCAGCACTCTGAAAGCAGCAGTAAATGAAATCATTCCAGTGACAAGCTTAACAAAGTATCCAATAAGTAAGCCTTCAAATATTAACTATTACTATTCCACTGAAAAT